GGATGTTGACCTAGAGGGAGGATCTGCATGTGGGGGGCAGGTGTGTGGGGAAATCTCTGTACCTTCTGCTCAATTCCGTTGTGAACCTAAAACTGCTCTAATAATAAAGTATATTAAAAATGTAGAATTTCCACATATATACGTACTTTTATAACAATAATATTTATTTTATAACAAGGGAAGGAATATGCAAAAATAATTCAGATGTGTTCCTTTAGGAGCAGACTGCGACCATGGTGGAGGGACAGGGTAGAACCTACACTTATATTAATTAATTTTATTTTATATTTTTGCATTTTAACAAATGTAATATATTAACTAATTATAAAACAGCATTAGATTCCAAATATTTATAAATTAAAACTAAAACAATATTCAAAAGAATTCTGAGTGCTTAGCAAGTTATTGACAGTTTCATACGAAGAGAATTTTATTTATTTGGCATGAAAAAGCAGTTTTTTTTTTTGCTCTCCATCTCTAATAGTATTAAAGATAAAATACTAGAAAATATTCAAAATGTTTTTCCACTATCATATTATTTGTTACCATAATGACATTGTTAGTTTGAACAAAGCAACCATTCTGTCAATGCTACTGATAACCAAAGTTTTCATCACAAGAGAAAAAATTCAAATATATGACCCAAAATTAAAAAGCCCATAATTCTAAATCTATTTAGATTAGTCACTATTCACTTTTGATAGATAATGTTTGAAAATGGACATATTTTCTACATTGTTCTACTGAAAATATATGGATTATTTTACCAACTCAATAACAACTTACACCCATCAGACAAAGATTATGGTTTTTAAATATGAAGGTAGGGCTGGCCGGTTAGCTTAGCTGGTTAGAGCACGGTGATATAACAACACAAAGTCAAGTGTTCAGATCCCCATACCAGCCCGCTGCCAAAATAAGTAAATAAATAGGAGGGTATTAAAAAAGGTTTGTGGAACGATTTGTATTATCTTTTCATTCTGTTTTTCCATGAACTCTCTGAAGTATACTCATTTAATTTATCTTTAAACAAATTCAGTGTTTCTTTTAAAAAGGATG